CATCTGGGGCCTGGCTAGGAGCAGCTGGGCTGTGGACAAGGAGGGGTTGGTCCCACAGAAAGCCAAGCAAGGATGCTAGTGGCTGTTAAAGCACTGAAAGGAGCAGAGACTGCACAATGGGTGTGGCTGCCACTAGGCACCTATGCCATAATGAGGCAGCTCATCTGCTCTGGGGCTGGGCACTGCATCACACTGACTGGGCAGTGCCGTTTTCTGCCCAAGCTGGAGTTCTTACATTGGCAGTGATGGGTTTGGGCAGGAGGACTGTGCTGGTGAAGGGAGAGCTGCCATGACAGCACTGCCAGGGTCACCCCAGCTTTGCAAAGGAAGCACAAAGATTAAGAGAAAAATCCAAGTTAAACACCATGATCGCACAGGGCTCAGCCTCGGGGAAGGAATAACCTTGCAAACTCTATTTAAACCCTTCCTTCCTAATCCCCCTCATCAGCTGCCTATTAGAAATAAATAATTTAAGCAGCAAAGCATGGCCATTGCCATATGAAGTAGCATTGAGACTTCTGAGTCACAGAGCGCCTGTGTCACAGAGCCAAGATGGGGCAAGTACAGCATGGGCATGCCTGGGGGTAAATGCCAGTCATGGCCTTGCTGAAGTGAGGACCCCGGTAGTAATATCCTTCCACCCTCAGAAAGGCAGCTGGTACCTTGGGAGTTCCCATCCTGGCTGAAAAGCTTGGGGACAAACAACTCCGAATTACTCAGGTTGGTCCTGGAGTTTTGCTTGGAAGCTACTGGGGAGCTCTCAGAGCACCAGGGACACAAAAGAAACAAGAACAGCCTCACTTTGGCAGGTTTATGTGTGCACACCTAGGCAAGGTAAATAATGATTATACTATAATGTGTAATAGAATTATTGCAAATACTTGAAATATTTATAGGTGATAATACATACATTGTATGTAATATGAATATATGTATAAAGTATGTATTACAAGAATAATTAAAGAGCATTTATTATTATATTTACATATTATATATTATTATATTTGTATATGGTTATAATACTTAATAGGCATTTGGCTTATCTATGTCTACATATACACGTGTGTACAGCATCATATTTATTATATAAATACAGTGATGCCCCCTAGCATAAAAAAGAGAGTACCTTCCCTTTCTGCAGCATACCTTCCCTTCCTGCAGTGTTAAACTTTGCCACAGTCCAACATGGCTTAGCAGTTGATGGAAAGTCTGCCCTTTCCTCTGAGTGCCACTGACAGCTCTACTTGCACCAGAATTAGGGGCATGGTGGGCACTTTGCCTGTGCTGTGGGTATTCCGTGCTATGGAACCACTGGCCAATCCCTCGTGGCCCATGTGAAGCTGTTGAGTTTGCCCTTCCAGTAGAACAAAATAGAGCTTCAGTAATCAGGAGGTTTCCTTCCAGAGCTTGCTGTGCACCACAGATTGGGTTGTTTACCAGCTGAAGGATTAAATAGACTTCCATTGAAAGGGAAAAAAAAATTGTGTTTTCAAGTATGTCTTGGAAGTGGCGTCTCGCTTGAAGGAGGCTTTTCAGACTTGCTTGTGTTTGCTGGCTGGCACTTCACTTGTCCCTGGTAAGGATGCTGCATCTCAGAGTTTCTGGAAAATTACTGTATTAGGATGGAGGCAGTGACTGGAAGCTGGGGAGGGGAGAAATATATATGCTTTGACTGTCCCTGAAAACAAACCCCTGTTCTCATCTGTCTCTACAGATGGTGACAGTCCCTTCTTTGCCTGCAAAGAGAAACTGCTCTGCACCCAGGAATGGGGGAACCCTTTACTGACCTTCCTTCCCAATTCAGGTGGGATCTCCTTGAGGCCCCAACACACTGGCACTGTGGTGGTGGTGCATGGAAGAGACCCACTCCCTCCCAAACTCCAGTGCCCTTTCTCAACCCCTGTCCCACAACACTTAAATCAACCCGAGTTTACTGGGGGACAACTAATGACTGATGGCAGGAGTGAATGTAATGGCACTGCTAATACAGTGGAAAATAAAATCAAGGGAGTTTAAACAAAAAAGAAAATTGTATTTTTTTCACTCCTCCCTGCTACAGACTGGATCAGTTGACTGATGGCTACACAGGGCTCAAAACCAGCTGATCTCATTCTTCTGCCAACACTCCACATTTTCCTCTATTCCCCCTAAAGGTTACAACAAGATAAGCCTTCCACTAGCATCTCACAGCATTTCATGGGTCTCTCAGTCCAGGGCCAGCACTGAGCCCAGATAGGCAGGTCAGCAGACAAGGACTAAAGAGCAGCAAGAAAGAAGCTCTCTTCTCTCACCTCCTCCTTTTTTGAGGATGTTGCTTACTTGGGAGTTACAAGGATTAAATACAAATAAAAGTCACTGTTGGCTCAAACAGAGGTGCTGGTGACTCTGGTGGGGTGGCTTCAGCCTAGTGAGAAGCCGAGCACAGCAATGACACAGACACAGCAGCAGAGAAGCCAGGCCCACCGCTGGCAATGACTTCCCTACTGGGTTAGATTAAAGACAGAAATCACTATGAAATGTCCACACCCTGTCTGGGCTCTGCTACCCACATAGGTTTGCTCTGAAACTGTGAATTTTGTGGAGGAAAAGGAGGGAAAGCAACCCCCTCCCCAAATCTCCTCCCCAACAAAATCACCCCAACACAACACCACAGGGAGCATAAAACCAGGTAGGGCCTTCTGTGATTTACTGAAAGCTCTTAAAAGCTGAGGATCCTGCAGGCAGGAGGGAAGGAGGAGGCAGCCTGGATAACTCAGGGGCTTCTGGCCCTGCTGGGACAGCTGGGGCAACCAGTGTCGGAGAGAGGGAGCAGTGCTGACCAGTCACTGGAGGGGCTGGGGGTACTTTCTTAGATGAGCAGGTTCAGATGGAGTTACAGGAATGCTGATCCAGGGTTACATACAACCTTTGTTAGCAAAGGCCCTTTCTCATTTGCACAGGGGAAAAAAAGGAGGAAAGAGAAAGAGTAAACAGTCTGAACAGCCAGATAACTAGCCTCTTGCTGCCCTTAAAAAAAGGAAAAAAAAATCCCCTTTTATTGAAACCATTTCCTTTGGTTATATCATTTCGCTTGAGGCTGGAAGCAATTTTGAGTCTTAAGTGCACTCCCTGCACTGTGTGCACAAGCACGAGGCTGAAGCTTCGCTGACCACCAAGGGGTACCCTGGAGAACAGCACGTCTTGCTGTGCCCTCTAATCTCCCCACATCATCTCCAAGCCCCAGTGTCTCCTGCAAGGTGGGAACCCCCCAAGCCGAGCATGGGCAAGGTGCAACATAGGTCACCCTGGCCCAGCCGAGTCCCACAAGTAGGACACGGATGGCATCCATTATGTGTTCCCATCCGTGTCCTCTGTCAACAGTGACAACCAGATTAAGCTGAGTTCTTCCCAGAAATCCCTGATAAAGGGATGTACCAGTACCAGGGCTTTGCTGCAAGCACATAGAGAAGCAGTTGTGTGTTGAGTAGTGGGAATTGATGTTGGAGTGTGACTGGGGTCCCTTGTAGTCTGCTCGAGCCACAGGCTCCAGTCAGGGCTTTTGCAGGATTGGAGGAAGCAAGGGCAAATCTGTGCTATTATGAGGAAAGCAGAAAAAGTTTCACATGTTCAGGATCCTGTAGAGGTCTGGGGTGTCTTCATCAGCTTGTCTTTAGAATCAGCCTTACCTGATCCATATGAGCAGCAAAAGCACCAAGCTCCAGAGAAGACTTCTCCAAGGCAGTGGGGCACACGCAGCAAGGAGAAGGAGTGATGGTGGTGAGGCAGGAGGAGTTATTTTCCAGGACTGCTCAAGCCGGTGCCAAATTGGAGGAGCTAATAAAGGTTTACAAAACAAAGCACTAAGCTCAAGTTATTAAAATATATATGTACACTTCCCCTAACGCAGCACCGTCAAACTGGGGCTGGCAATCAGACGCTCACTTTGCTTTCCCCGCAAGCCCCCTCAGCTGCTGGGCTGCAATTATCACACGTGGGTGCTCGGGGCTGATGGTGCAGCCGAGCAGAGCCGACAGCACTCAGGCTGCAGCGGGAGATAAAGCAGCGAGGCCCGAGCTGGGGGAGTGTGTGCCTGGAATGCTGAGAGCTCCCCATCGTGAAGCCAGCAGGGGGCAATTTATCCTTCAAAACAAAAAAATGGAAGAGGAAGCTTGAGGAAGGGGGAGGCAACAGCTTAGTATTTTTTTAAGGAGTGCTTTTCCCCACACCTGGCAGCCCAGAGCTGAACAGCTTCTGCTCTCAGGGACCTTCAGCCATGTGTTGATACCATGCAGGGGCCTCAGCTTTGCAGCAGCTCTGGGAAACCAGAGCGGAACTGGGAGCAAAGAAACACCCAACACCAGCAGTCACCCAACACAGCTCAGATTTAAGAGTTTTAGAGCTAGCAGGTCCTTGAACAAGGCCCCTGTCTGCCAGCAGGCTGGGGGACTTGACCTCCCATTTCCCTTCTCCAACAAGAAGGTGGCAGATTATTCTTCTAGTTGAGGCCTAGTGACATTTTTCAAAGGTTTGATCCATGTCCTTGACTCCTGACTCTTCAGCATCTTATTATCCAGATGACCCTATTGCTTCTTCAATTGCGCTGAGAATTGGATGTTTTCAGCCCCACAACCCCTCCCTGATGTGTCCCTGACAGCACCAGAGCCACTCTGGAGTGAGGACTGAAGGAGTCACTGGCCACATCCTCGTACCCAATCATCACCCAGGCCAACACAAGCCTTACACACACAAACAGATTCAAGACTCATCCCAGAGCAATTTTTAATGAGTGGATGGCAACTGTGGGAGAGGGAATGGGCTTTAATTCTAACCTGAAACGCGGTCAGCAAAAGGCTGCTCTTGGTTAGGAAACACTGATTTTCCTAAGAAAGAAGCTCTATTAAAATTGCATTGTCTGACCTGAATGGATGAGAAAGAAGCAGGAAGTTCTAACCGACAAGTTAGAACTAGAAACAGGTAGAGTCATAGCAAGAAAAAAACAATCCCCAAATCCACAGCATTTCTTTTTTTTTTTTACCCACTTTATTTATATGTGTGTTTCTATAAACATTTTAACTACTGGGTATTTCATAAACCGTAAAAACAAACCTTCCTACCCCCAAAATGCAATCAAACCAGCTTGTCGGTCAGACACCAGTGATGCTGCCAGGGCAGGTAGGTGGTATCCCTACATAACCTCCTGCTGGGCGTGAGCCAGCAGCTCACTGCCTCAGATCCTGAGCGTCTGATGAGCCATGGAGAGGAGACAAGTTTAAAGACCTAGTTGCTCTCCTCCTCCAGGGATTCAGCAGAAGGAAAGGGGGGTGAATAAAGAATTTCCCTTGAGAGAAAGTCAGAGTTACACACGGAGGGGCTGCAACATCCACCTGGAGGATCAGGTGCAGTGACCTCGGCAGGCTTTGGAGCAGCCTCAGGGCTGTGTAGGTGGACTGAAACCACCGACCAAAATGCTCATTCATTACCAATGGCCCAAATGCTCCTTAGCCCCTTGTTTGCTGGGTGCAGGTGTGAGCAGCGGGCACTTCTTAAAACCGGCTCGCTCACTTGCCAGGGTACAAGTCTGTGGGTGCTGATTCCTCAGGGCGGGCAAGCCCAGCTGTAAGGCACAATGGGGAGGGGAGGTGTCAGGGGAGGCCCAATCCAGCTGGGTGACCCAGCAGTCATCGCCAAGTACCCCGTTGTCCCAGAGGAAAGCACCGTATCGCATGAGGGATGTGGATCTGCGCGTGGTCTCTCAGTTCCCCGGGTTCATGTCTGCACCATGGATGAGCCAAACCAGGCGGAAACAGATGGCCAGGAATCCAGTGCCCAGGAGATCCCCCAGGGCAGTGAGGTAGGGGATGGAGAAATTATCCGGATCCAGAGCCTTCCTCCACATCAGACGCACAATTAGGTCAGCCACGTAGAGCAGGATTCCCACCTGGGTAGAGGCAAGAAAGGCCCTGCTGTGAGGCAGCAAGAAGGCAACATCCAATCTCCTTCAGCTCACAGCCAGAGTGACATGGTCATGGCCGAGGTACCAGAGCTAAAAGGGATCACTGAGAGCTCTCACCATCCCCAGAGAAACACTGTTTCCCTGCAGGATGGAGCTGCACTGGGATGAATGTATCTGGTTCCTACCCTTTGGCATTGCACTGCCTGGCATCACCCTTGATGCCACTGCCCTGTGCTGCCAGCCACAAGTGTGAAGAACCCCACTTGAACTGCTCACCAGCATCTCCTGCTCAAAATACGAGTCTGACCACACCAAAAGCTTCTCCCAAAGGTACAGTTCCTACTTCTCATGCCTTGAATTGGACTGCTGCCATTCATTCCACCAGATACAGGGCTGCTTTGAATATGCAGGCAACCCCAAAGGATAACTTCTTTTTTCCATTAGAAATTCAGATCACATGTACTTTGTTTTTCCTAAAAGTCTCAGTGGACAACTGGAGTTTGAGGCAGTTTTTACATCAAAGTTATCCCGAGCAGCACTGACATGTTAAAAGAATAAAATAATTTCTCTTTTTTTTTTCACCTCAACAGTTTAAAAATCTTTGTTGTGATTTCTTTTAATACCTGTTTCATTCCCAGTTCTGATAAACAGATGGAAGAAAAATGCTTCGGTTAAAGATTAAAGACTGTTTTGTTAATTGAATTAAGAAGGGAGAGAAGGAGTTTGCTCTCCACATCTGTGGTCCCTCCATGGGAGACCACAGCACATCAGGAACCAAAGCTGGAGGTGGCATTTCTAAAGGTGAAAATTGGTTGAGGGAAAGGGAGGAGGAGAGGTGGGGGAAGCAAATTAAATAACAGAATCAGAGAAACTAAAGCTGGCTGGAAACTCAAGAGTTTTACACAGATCATTCCTTTGCCTCAATTCAGGATCAAATGCGTCTGATGGAAAATTTGCTTAACCTGTGCTAAACAACCCTCAGAGCTGGAGATGCCACGCTTTAAGCAATCAGTCCCACAGCTTTTTTTTTTCTATTTCTGTTTTTCCTAAGGTCTAACATAAATCTGCTTTTTCCATTTGAAATCCATGATTTCGTGTTTCTTCTCTAGTGACCACATAGTAAATGTTATTCAGTCCCTCCCTCCAGAAATTTGGTAGTTTAAAGGATATTAACCATATTTTTCTCAAGCCTCTCTTCTTTGGACTAGCTAACCCCTGTCCATTCAATTATTCCTCTGAGGTCATGTTTTTTAGGCTTCTGATCTTTCTCTTTGGGCTTCCTCCAGCTGACCTAAACTTCCCCCCTCATCTTTCTTTCTGTCTTTCTTTATAAAGTATAACGGAGGGGGAAAAAGAAACAGGCTGAATGCATTCTCCTCCACTGGCCTCCATGGGAATCTTTCAGGGTCAGTGGTGTTGCTGGGATGCTGCTCTTTACGCTGTCATTTATTCTGTGTATTTTCATGCTTGGCTTTAGTTGAGGAGTTACCTCGATGCATAAAGAGAAGAATAAATATTTTCCTTTACAACTGTGGCTGTGCTGCTGGGCTTAGGGTTGTGCAAAGGTCGAGAGAAACTGATTGTTTGCACACAGAAGGAATTCACCCGAAGACACGTCGCTGCTTGTAAGGCAAAGTGAGAGTCAGCCACCTCACCCTGCAAATTAATGAATCACTGATTTAAAAGGGCAAATGAAGTTAGAGCCTCTGTGGGTTCAGGCAACAGCCACATGCATTTCTGGGTGAGATGACAAAGCTTACAGGGTAGGAAAAACAGCAAAAGAGAACAGGTACAACAAATTGAATGAACTGCCCATTGCCTATCCAGAACTTTTATTTTCAAAGACGAACTGCTCAGGCCTGGGTTTTCCCTTCACTTTTGACCTACATGGCCCTGCCCCAATGGATTCCCATAATATGTGACACTGGTTTCCAAAATGAACGAGGAAACCTGCTGGCTGGAGTTCACTGCTTCTCACTTGCCCCTTTCTGGAATGACAAGTGGCAGCCTAGAAATACTTGGAGCTTAGGGACTCAAGGAGTGAACATTTTAAAACAAGGTACTTCCTTGTTAAATGTGTCTATGCACACTTACTGCAGCTCAGTGGAGGACGAGAACTTGTTCCTCATCTCACATCTGATCCCTCACTCACCCTAAACTGCAGTCATGCTCATATGGGAAACTAGACCCTCACAACCTGGGTGAAGTATTACCGGACCCACAGAAGGTACATGATGCTTGGTAGAAGCACACCTGAAATGACAGAAAAGGGTGGCTGCTGTTGGATGTTTTACCATGACTCCTGTTTAGCCTGGAGAAGGCTTTTTTTCTTGCTATCTGAGAGGTTCCTTTTTGTTGAGAGTTTGGGGGTTACCTGCAGCAAAGCAGCAGTCAGATAGAACATCACAAAGGTGAAGGACAGAGATGTGTGGCCTCCTTGCAGCAGATGGATGGTGTAGAGGAACACGAGGTGACCTGGGATAACCAGGAGGAACAGGACCCGGGCTGACTTGGAATTCACCTCTGCAGAAGACAGAGACAGAAAGAGGGGTAACAGCAGCTGCAGAGGGTAGGGGGAGGACAGGACCCATATTTATTGCATAGACTTGAGGCTGTCCCCTCCCACCAGCAACATTGCTAATGCCTTTTCTAGATCACACAGCAGTCAAGAGCATCTACAGAATCAGCCCAGCAGCTTTGTCTAGCACTGAAACTATGTGTCAGGGACTGTGAGCTCCATGCTGATCCACTCTGATTCTCGCAGACACTCCTCTCAGCTGCTCTCTGCCTCCCACAACTTCTGCTCTGTCTTACTGCAACACATTTTCCCAGATTATAGTTTGATCTAGCACTGATTCCTAAGCCAGCAGGGAAAATCAAGAGGAATCTGCAATCTATAAAGACAACAGACCCAAATCAAATTTTGCTGACGCTTAAGTATATCCAATGCTGAAGATGGAGAAATTGCTGATTTTCAGCAAGATTATGGTCTATTCACCCCTCTATCCACAGGTTATGGCTCTAGGCTGGCCATGGTTAAAATGACTTTCTATTAGATCGAATCTAAGATTCTTTTTCAATTACTTTCTTTAGTGCTCCCTGAAGGCTACTTTCTTTCCATACCAGTGAGCAGTGAACAAGCCTTTTTTTCACACTGCCCATTGCAAAGATGCTTCTTCTCTGATCTGAGTATTTTCCCTGTGAGGGGGAAGTTCTGCCTTTGAAACCCACCTAGACCTTTTCCAACCAGGCTTGGTAAAGGAGCTATCTGTGGTGACAGGCCTTGAGACATGGAGACCTAGGGTTCAGGGTCTACCTGATGAGAAGAATGTGGTGCATGGGTTGGGCCAATTCTGCCTCATCTTGTATGGCAAAACTCCAGGCATGCTCCAGAAGTGCAGGAATGTAGAAATTCGGCTGGCCTGGATGGCGACCAGATTCCCTCCAACACCTATGAGGGCAAAACACAGAAAACATGTAAAACACGTTCAGCACAGCAGGAAACATCAGTCTAAAACCTAGCCCAAGATGAGTCGATCTGCACTCACTTACAAGCTCACAGAGAGCAGCAGTGAGAAAAAGAGGAAAGCTGATCCCACACGTCAAGGTGATGCTGCACTATTCACTTTGCAGGAACAGCTCCTAAAAATCAAGAACGTTCCAGTGATCGTCTCCTTCTGACTGCTGTATTGAAAACCTTTTTCCTTGCTCCCCAGCACTGGGTGTAAATGCCACACAGCCTCTGGAGATAATGTAATTGCACCTGGTTTGACACAGCCTGTTAAAAACACCTGGGGAAAGCAATGCAGGCAGTGGCAGATGCTGCTCATGGCCACTTCTTGGATTTAGTCATCCAGAGAACCATTATTGTTTAAAAGACAACAAACATCACAGAGAGTAATTATATGTCTGTATTAAGGCATCTGACTTTGTCAAATGAGAAGAAATCACGAGAATGAATTAGAACCCAAATATGCTAGCTAATTAAAAGGAAATTAATTCCTTACAGACTGATTAATTCTAGAAAACATGAAAAAGTAGATACATTTTCCAGTAGAAAATAGAGGAATAATGATCTACAGAGTAAACCTCCACCACCCTGAGTATCTTCAGGGTAGAAATGCCACAGAAAAGATAAAAGGGAGCCAGGTGCTGCAGGCTTCTCATGTTTTCCCTTCCTTGAAGAAGAAAGTTCTCCATCATTAAATATGAGTTTTTCCAGATGGGAATCAAAGGCAAACACTAAGGCTATGTCACCGTAGCTGGAGATGGAAACTTTCTGAACCCTGCACTGCCACGCTTTGCAGGACTCCCCTGCACAGGTGAAGAGCTTCTTGTGCAAAGACAGAGAGCACTGAGCAACTCTGCCACCGGCTCTGCCAAACAGATCACCTGCCCCCACAGGGCGACGTCTGGGTCAAACATTGTTCAACTAAACTGCTGCTGACATACTCTCCCAATCAGATTCTTTGGGTAACCTAGCTGGAAAGGGTTTGTCAGTGAGGTGGCTGTCTTTACGCAGATCCAGTAAGGTGACAGCTGGGTGACACCCTCTGACACTGCAAGAGGACACCATGCTTTGAGAGTGGCATGAGGCCAAGCCTACCCTAGGAACATGGGTTTCCCTTTGAATGGGCCTGTCCTATAGGAACATTACAACAGCAGAAAAATAGACCAGTGGATCCTCAATGATACCAGGATCCCCAGCAGTTTGTAATGATATGTGTGTGTATAAAAGTACCGTGAGGATTCCAATAAATATAAATATACACACAAAAGGTCTTGAGAGATAAATATATAAAAATCCCTCTATATGCAATCCATATATATAATCTTTTATACATATACACATATCTAATCTTAACATATTGATCTTGTTCTTTTTCAACAATCTGTATAGGGGATGATTTCACAGCTCAAATTACCAAGTGGAGGGAGACTGACAAAGGAAAATGGATTTATTTTGACATCCTAATAGGTTTGATGTTATGAACAGTGTCAATGTAGCTCTCAGAGGCAGCTATCAGATGCTGTTAACCTTTCCCACAGCTCTGCCAGTATTTTCCAGCCCTGCCTGCTGTTTTTCTCCAGAGTTGCTTCAAGACATGAGTAAGCAAGGATGTAACGGGGACCAGTAGCTTTGCTTCCACTCATGATGGGAGGAGGGACTTTGAACCCTGACCTCTGTGTAGGGGCAACAGTGGATACCACAACCCTTGGGGAGGAGGAGGAGGTATAAATAAAAGCAGAGAATCCCCCATGCCCAGCCTACCATTAATCACAGGTGTGAAAACTGCCATGCCTTCAAAGTTTGGGTCAGTTACAGTTTTGTCCAGGATGAGCCCACCAATGCTGTTAAAAAAAGGACAGGCAATGAGTGTGGATCAATTCCTATGCTGTGAAAGTAGCACACTGAGATGGGTTACTGCATCTTCCCCATTGCCAGGGTTGGACTGATTTGCCCAGGTACCCCTGTTACAGCTCAGTCTCCACCAACAGATAACCTTACAGTTTTTGTTAATGTCATAATGAGTTCACAGAGACTTCCTGGCCCACCCGCAGGCAAAACTGGTAGTAGTTAGGGAAGCTTTATCACCCTCCCCCAAAGCTTTTTCACACTTCTCTACCAGCTTCAGAAATTTTTAAAAATTCTCTCCCGGATCTCAGTTGGATCTGAAACATGCAGCACAGGAGGAATGAACTATCTGACTCTGCATTAACCAGTCTTTTCTTTTTACAGCTGGATAAAAATGAAGTTGAAGCCTGACAATTTGTGATGGTCATCACCTCTGTTTTCTGTTTCCTAGCTTGCACCCACGTGATGCCTGGATGCGTGAGACTTAAAATGATTTGCTTTTTCCAGTGATTTGGAGGCTCCTTATCTGCTATCTCACAGTCTGTGGGAGGGCCACCAGTGGCTCAGAAGCTCTGGACAAATACCCTTCTGCTCTCTCTTCCAGTTTCACTTTTGATGGCCTTCTAAGTGAGCACAGGGTCTCTCTGCAGTGTGAATACACGTGTGGGCTTGGGAGCTGCTCCTTGGTTTACCTGCTGATGCTCATTGCAACAATAACCGGCTGCCATCCAGATTTCAGGACTTCAGCAAGAGAAGGGTTTTGCTTGGCAATAGCAACCCAGAGAGGGATCATGACAATGAAGACAGCACAGATCAGAGGAGAAAGGTATTTCACATCTGGCAAGGAAAAGAAATCTTGAATTAAACGCCCATAGCTTCACAGGTTGCCAAAATCAAATTGCACAAAGATGGGAAAAAAGGCAGCGGGACTCTTGTCCAACCGAGTTACGTTATCAGAAAAATCACATGAACCATGATGTTCCCCACAAAACCACCTCATTCCACTACAGAAATCCATACTAAATCCCTGAAATTCACTGCTGGAGGATGCTGTTTGAAAATCAGCAGGATTCAAAGCAAGTTAAATTTGAAGACGAACAAGTCTCCAATTCCATCTCCAACTAAGAAAGATAAAAAGTTACAAAATTTCTGGCTCCAGGGTACAGATCAAACAGCAGGGCAAGGGGGAAACTCCTGTATCACACTTAGGGCAGGCACCTCACACCTTCACCTAAAACAAGACGTAAGAGGTACTTTAGGTGGCAAGCCAGCAGAATTGCTGAACAGCTGGTCTGCTCTATAGGAACAAATGTTCTCTTTCACGTACAAGCCAGTTAAGATCTGGGGTTTCTTTTGTGCTAGCTTACATGTGTTTCCATTAGGCAGAGGCATAAAATTGAAGTGATTTTTAGAAGCAAAGGAATCAAAAAATAAGCAAATATGCAGCACAAAAAGAAAATAAATATTACTTAGAAGCACGAGAAACACCTTCAAGCAATGGGGCTGATGCCAAGCCTTTCGATACAAAACTGCTCCATCAACAGAGCTTTCCATCTGGTCTCTGTGTTGGGGCCAAAGGCAGTGAGATGTAATGCCGACTTTGCAGGTAATCTGGGAGATAAAGCAAACTCAAAGTGTGCATTTTTTAAAATGTCTTTGCCAGGACCTTGGGCTACCTGGATGAGATAGCACTGATGTGATGACATCTTCCATGAATCAAGGGCTCTTACACAAGGAGGTGCACTCTTTATGAGTGGCTTTAGCTGGCGCTGAAATGCAACCACTTCTGGGGTGTAAACAGCTGTAAAAACTGTTGTGTCAGTGCACTGAACCCCCTGGAGTCATTCAGGGCAGATGGGCTGCATGACAAACTTAGCTGCTATTCTGGGTCTCCTACCCACATCCCTTGATGTTTTGAGCAATTAATTCCTTCTTAAATAATGCAGACACAGAGCACTGGAGTCTATCAAACCTTATCAAAGCCCACAGAGAGACTCCTGGTGGGATGAATGGCCTTCAGTCTCCACATTCCAGTTCTGCCACATTCCCTCACATACAGCCCATAAACAAGCTGAAACCCTCTGGCACAGTTTGTACCTCCATTACGCAGGACTGAGAAGGATCAGAGTCAATTTAAAAAAAAAAATTAAAATCTTCACTGGCAAAAGGGTATTTTGCAAAAGGGAACAGTGCTGCATCAGGTGGCACATAGTACTCCGAACTTACAGTCTCATCAGTATTTTTGAAGGATACATTTTGGTAGGACCCAGAAGTTTTCACAGCATGACCATACCTTCCTACACAGTGGGGAGGGAAATTAATTTATTCAGTCACCATCAGCAATGCCTTCCTCCTACCTGCTTCACTTCATGCTCTCAATGACTTGGTGTTCGTATGATGAGTATTTTCAATCTCAGGAGGGTATTTAAACTACTCTGAAAACTCCACAAATTCCCTTTGCTCACAGCCATGAAGGTTATTATGTTCTTCTGCCCTGTGCTCCCTAGGAGATATTATCTGAGGTGTATTGACTGAAAGACAACCTAGCTTTACAGAGGAAGGTGAGATGGCATCATGGAAAAAGCCTGTTAAAAAAAATGCACTCTGAAGCTCAAGGAGGATTGGACAGAAGCAATTCATAGGCCTCTCCCTTCAGTGTGTGCTCCTTCACTCCCTCACTTGCGCTTACATATGGAACCAGTTATGCAAACTGAGAACAGCTGCCTCGCTGCTTCTGCTCAGTCTGAAGCAACAGTTTGAGTGTCAAATGGTTTTGAGTTTGCTGATCTTTTTATTTTCCCATTTCTGTTCTAGGTTAGGCTCATGGTAAATAGCCTAACACTTTAAAAGCAACAGTCAGGCATATATCACCAAGTAGCAAGATGTTTTGGGCTTTTCAGAATCAACAGATGCCCAAGCCTTTGCCAATCAGCAGCACAGCTTAACACCATAGCCATAAGTCCTAGAGTCCTGCAAACATGAAACACTGCAGTCTGCCTTCTTCCAATTTGATGTCTTGTTCATCCATGACTCCCCATGCAAGAAGGTACAAGAATATTTTACAAATGCTAAACCCCTGAAATTGCTTTGCGAGAAAGGACCTGCTATTACCCACCCACAGAAAATAGTTATGCTTGGCTAGTGACAGATCCAGGAACAGAGTCAGAGTCACATATGCCAACCTTCTGTTCCAAAGCTGCACAGTATCTGTTGGTCATTTCTTTGACAGATCCCAGTTGTGTTTCTTAGAGCTCTGCCTTCCAGTTTGTTACTAATAGAAACTCTGGAAAAAGCCTCTTCAGTCACCTTTCTACCCCAGTGGCACAACAGCCTCCATTCTGAACCATGCCAGAAACAGGGAAGCACCCTGCAGTAATTTCACAAGGATTCGTCCCTTCCTTGCTGAGCTGCAATTCCCTGCTAAACACTGTACCTATGTATTTGAAGAGTGTACTGCTGATTCCCGCCAGCAGGGAAAGGGTTATCAAGTCTCCAAGGCTTGCTGCTATGGGTGTGGCAACATTGTCTGGATTGATCCCAACTTTCCTTGCTCCGATGATCACACCAATCATCACCAGACCTAGAGAAGACACAGAGCAAGCATCAGAGAATGTATCCTGCTGTGTTTCACCCCAGAGCTGCTGTTCTGGCTCCCAGAGGGACATGGGGATCTAAGAAAAGTGAGAAGCAGATTACCCATACCAGCACCACGCAGCTGGAGATTGGACATCCTCAGGAATTCGCTCTCTTGCTTTCACCAACCTGAAGGGCATGACTGCCCTTATGAACTGTTCCAAAGGCCCACAGGCACACAAGCAAATTCCAGGGATCAAAGGAGATACCAGCAGGCAGCCCAAATGTAGAAGCTTCCCTCCTGAGCAGCCTAATCTTGGCTGCCTTGAAGGAGGACCAAGCACGAAGCACACTCAGAGATAAGCACACAGCAGGCATGCAGCCCTAGTGCCATCCCCTGCTCTGGATTCCACAGCACAAAGATATTTTCCATATTAGACCAAAATTTCTCAAAGTTTGAATCACCAAGGAGAAACAAGCTTCTTTACAGTAGCCTGCATTAGCATTTCAGTCCATCCATCAAACTGACCCTTCATGCCCCAGAGCCTTTGGGGCTGCTTTAATTTGCACTGTGTGGATGTTGATGCTCTGAGCATTATGGAGATGGCCCACATCACCTCTCTTCCCTTGTCCTTTGAGCTGCATCTGGAAAATTCAGCTGCTTTTTGGCACTCTTGGAGAGGAGGGAAGTTTTGCTTGCCCAGGTGAGTTAAGGAATACAAACACCAAACCCTGAGGAACATGTGGGAATCTCTCAGACATCAGATCTCCCACAGGCCTGCAGATAAGCTAACTGGAATAAACCCTGCCTGGCCAGCCTCCACTGCTGTGTGACTAGCAAGGGTAGCCTTGAGACAAGACAAATGACATGTTTTCAAAGGCCTTCCATGGTTGACAGTACACAGCAAAGAAAGCTCAAGAGATGGTGGTTCCCTCCAGCTCACAACTCCTCTGTGCTTGTCTATACAGCCCCACCAGAGCTGACCATACAGAGGATGATCAGCTCTCCCATAAGAAATGCCACATGTGCACCTTCCTTGATACAAAATCCCCTATATAGAAACACATCCTCACACAACATGGCATTTCCACAAGAGTCATCCTAGACACCCACACTCCCCTCGCCACAGCACAGTTCATGCTGTTTCCCTCCCTGGCCATAAAAATAGCAGCTTCCCGTTGTGCACACCCACACACAGGCTGCCTGTGACCATGTCCAGGGAAGAAACTAATGCCAGCAGCAAGCCTGTGACAGTACAGCAACAAAGCCTATCTGTATCACACCAAGCAGGGAGATTGTAGGGAAGAGTAATGAAAGCTGTTTTTAACAACTGCCTCATGCCATGCTTTTCATGAAAGGCATCTACAATCACCCTTTGACTCCAGCTTCAGGATATGCACTTGTTCTAACTTGTTCCTTTCATTTAGAAAACTTGCTTTATTTGACTCTGCCAGCTGACTCTATTCGGTGTATCATGCTGCCCTCGTATGGCAGACCTACAAACTGATGATCTTCAGGCCGCTCAGAACAGATCCTACCATCCAGCCCACCACACTTCCCTTGAAGGGGAAGAGCCAGGGGAGAGGAGTGCCCAGCTGTGAGCTCATAGCAGGTAAGCCACAGGGCTGGCCACAACCCTGCCCAGGGTATTGGGTGACCCAAGTCCATCTTGAGCATGGTCTGGAGTTGTCTGCTAACAGACTCTCCATTTCATGCTTTGTGCATGATATTAGTTCAGCTTCCCCTAGAGAAAGGGCCAGTGTAGATGGCTCATGTGTCACCCAAGAGACATGAAATAAGTATGTGTATGTTTATGTACTTCCATGCACAGCATGGGGCATTTTTGGTGTGTCAGGTGAAGGACATTCTGATTGCTGCTGTGGATGTCAAGAGCCCAGCGAACAACAGATCACGGGAGAAGAGAAGCATAGGCAGGATGCAGAGGGGATGAAAGCAGCACACATAGGACTAATGCTCCCTGCATCCCTCCTCCCTCTGCCAGACCAGAGGGATGTCAGCTGGGTCTCCCCAGCAGAAGAGGCAGTTTATTCCACACCTGACTGCTGCATGTTTGATCTGAGGAACCAAAAAGACTCACCAAGTGACAGTGCAGCTATGAAGGCCGTGGTCACGCTGCTGGCACACAGCACAGCAGCCTGGCTCAGCTCCACAGAGCCCTTAGAGATGGCCCCCAGGATCACAGCAGCAACAGCAGCCAGTAGTCCCACCACAGTGGCCTGGACCTGGGGATCAAAAGACAGCTGGTGAGCAATCATCCACTTCTGTTTCCAGGCAGCCCTGGCTCCACACGACTGCAGTGCTGTCACATAGCTCAGAGGGCACAGCCTGGCACAGATGCTGATTGCTTATGTATTTAAGCAGCATCCCTGTGAGGCTCCACTAGATTCAAAAGAAATCCTGACAAAGTTTGGAGAAAAACTCTGAAGGTCTGCAAAGGCCAGATAATATTTCAGCAAAGGACACTGAGTCCATCAGCAAAGGAGTAACCCTGGTCAACACAAAAATGGGCTCCCCATCAAGGTAGCACTCCTGAAAGCTGAGGAAGGAGATAAGGGAAAGCACACAGACACACGTTGCAAGCCTTGTGGTCTTGCCATGTGAAAACTCTAGGCTAGTTGCTGGATTTTAACAAGCAGAAAGAGCTACAAGAGGCACATTTCTCCCACCTCTCCCCTCCTGCTCAAGGCTGATTCCCAAACACTGTCAGTAAATGACAGGCTTTATTTGGGGCTGTTGTGAAACAGGGATTGTAGCTCCCCCTGCAAAAGGAGTTTTTTTATTATTTCAGTTTGCCTACAAAGACAACGAATGTCTAGATATATTTTGCAGCTAAACTACAAGCTCTGGGTCACACAGAGCTTTATTGGAAGTAAAGCCCTGGCTCTGCTTGGCTCTGTTGAAAATACCCACCCCAAATCACCTGCTCTGGGTTCAGCACTGCTGGGAAGAGATGCTGTTGGTCTGCAGCATAGCAAGAGAAAAGGGACTTTTTCATCTCCCAGCTGAAGTGACTCACCTGGATAAGGGCTAAATTGCAGGTGGCCATTTTCCATTGCTTCTGGGCATCATCCATCTGTCCAGTGTTAGCCTAGGAGTCAAGAGAGATACCCTGAAAGCCTGTTTCTGTGGCACAGGTGGCTGCTGAAGGCAGTTTCACCTGGTCCCTGTAGAAAAGAGGCTGTTAAAGTCAGAGAGAGGCAACTGCAGGTCATCATCCCCCAGCCTTCCCTGCACTTGCTTCTTGACACTTCTCCATCATGCTCTAGCCCAGTGTCCCAGGGGCATCAGAGGTTCACATTGGAGGTACAGAGGCACTACAGGGCACCCAGCTAAAGGTGGAGTGGGCATATCCATCACATCCCACACAGAGAAAAAGCTAAACAAACTAAAACAATTTTCCTTCTTTGTTCCTCCTAAATTGCTCTGTTAAGCTCCAAATTCTCCTGAGACGTAACATAAACAGCCCGAAGTAAACAAAACAGCTTAGGGAGATACAAGAGATCAAATAGAGTAGCAAAAGCTGCTGCATGTTCCAAGAAGCCTCAGTCTGCTCCCCCCGAGTTAGGAGAGCTGGGAAGCCCTGGCCTCTCAAGAATCAATACCCACAGAAAAGCAATCCAATACTGAAGCTGACAGCTGTGGAGTCCTGTCTTTGTCTCCTTCATGTGTCACAGGGCCCCAAATATCAGCAACTGGCCACCCAGGGATTAATTCACCTTCAAAGCACAGATGGAAATTCTTTGTTCCAGTTACAAAATGAGGGCAAACACATTATTTAAACACTCACACATCACTAGTTTCCACTTAGCAGAAAAGGGCATATCTCATACATATTGTGATTATAAAAATGAAGAATCTCCTGATGTCTCCTGCTAATCACCCCCCTCCCCACACACACACAGCCACCACCTTGTTAACACTCACAGCAGTAGAGAGCCTGGATGCCAGTGTCATCTCCAGATTGCCCTTCAGGCCAACCAAGGCAGGAACCAGGATAAACACTTCAGTAATTGTCCGAAACACATCCCAGTGCTGGAAAAAAACAAAGGCAACAACTTCAGTTTATGGTGCTGACCAGTCCAATGCTGTTGCTCCACAGGTATCTGTACATGGGGGCAGATGCTGCCCTGTTGCACTTTGTTGTTGCATTTTGGAGTGAAGGAAGGAATTTTCAGCTTGCAGTGTTCTTTCTCATCTCATGCACAATAAAGCACTATCCTAACAGGGAAGGGTCTTTCTTCCTGAGGGTAACAGAAGATTTTGGAAAGCCACAAATTAAAATGTGTCTTTTGCATTAGCCAAGAATAACATGAAAAATAGTTAGGGTTCACAAGCCAAATGAAATACAGCATGTTCTTCATCCTTTGCACTGACACTGGATACATGAACATCTATTGCTAAATAGACTCATAAAAATAAACACAAAGATCTGAAAATGATCTAACAACAAAAAGTTGTGTCTGTCTTCTCTCACCAAACTTCAAACTAAGCATCTAAGACTGGTGGTGGAAGGGAAGGAGATTTGTGCATCTCTTCTCCACAGGCAGTTCCTAAATCTTCCTGTTACCAAGTATGTTCCTAGCACAGCTGGAAAAAGGATTTTGAATTAAGATATCTCATAAGCCAAACAGCTGAGCCAGTATCTTGACTGTTGTTGCTTCTCTGAAGCTGAACTATACAAAGCTGTTGGATCAGCTGCAACACTAGAGATGATCTGAAACCTTAAGAAACTTTGTTGACTGACATGTCTTCTCTAATTTATGGCCCATACAGTGCCTTGGAACATAATTCATTCCCCCCTCTGTGCATTCAAGGATGTGCATTCCCCCCTCTGTGCATTCAAAGTCCCACTGTAGCCAGAGAGGTTTACATCAGGATGAAATCACAGAATGGGGTAGCTCAGTGTGAAGTAAAACCAACAACCACCTAAGAGCAGAACACAAGAAAAAAAGACTGATTGCTGTGAGTCAGGTCACAGGTTCATCTAACCCATGATTAGCTCTACCAGTAGTCAAATTCAGGTGTATATAAAACATATCTAAAATATGACAAGTAAATGGGATAATTCTCCTGTGTATTTTCCAGCCTATGACTGTCCATCACAGGGTACAGAGCTGGTGGGGCTTTTCTGCATACTTATCACTGATAAAAGGATTGTTCTTTCAGGTGCTCATCCAATCTCCCCCCTCCTACCCATGTGCCATCCCGTGGCAACAATTTCCATAGTTCAGCTACGTGTCATGTGAAGGATCAATGTGTTCATTAATTTCATCTTGTCACTCTCTAGTATCCCATGATGGTCCCGAAATCTGGCACTAGGGAATAAAACAAACAAGAGATCCCTGCCCACCTGTTTCACATCCATTGTGATTCTATAAACCTGAAAGTCTAGGAGGTTGGACAGACTGAATAAATGTTGACACATTCAGCTGTCTGCCTGTTAGGAAATATGTGCAGGGTGTAACAGCTTGGTGTTTTGCTTTGGCTGTGCCATGGGAAGCTGTGGGAAGCCAGTGGTGTGGCTGTCTGAGGGGAAGACCTCACAGCTTCCTTCTCAGGAAGCTGGCATGAAAGTGGGGCTGAGCCAGTCCTGAGCACGTGGTGCAAGACACCCCTCAGACGTGCAGATAAGAGGCAAAACATTATTATCAATGTAAAAAAGGCATATTTCCTGGCAGTAGTGGCCTGGAAACAGGCATGTTTCAAAATGTTAAAGGTAAGTTAGTTACTGTTGAGTAAATAATCAACAACACAAAAATAATCACCTTGACACACTATAATTTTGTATAAATTTCTTAACATGGAACCTAAATACCTGAGGAAAGCTAGGGGTGGACATCTCTTTTAAAGATTAATATCCCTGTCTCTCTTCTTTTTGATTAAGAATAAAGATCCAAACAATCTTTGAATCCTTCAAAAGAAAGAGGAGGAAAAACAGACTTCGTAGTCACAATGTTAAAACCCCCACCCATTTAAAATATAGAGATGTGAAAACATTTATACTTAAGACCTTGCATATGTTGCATATAAAAAGATGTATAAATAAGAAATAACAAAACCCCTCGACCCTTTTTATTTCCTGTGCATGTTACCTTTGGAAAATATGATTTCAGTATATCTAGGTAAGCTCCAATACTTTTGTTCATGATAAATTTTGCAGGTCTCAAACCATCATAACAGAAGTTTCAGCATATGAGGTATGACTTTTTGAGACTCTGCTTTATATACCATTAAACTTCTCTGAACAATTAATAATCACACAACCGTACTGACAAAAAAAGCTGACTTAATTGCCTCTATTTGAGTCTCATTAGTGACTCACCAACAGCCTAAGGACAGATTCATAATGATTTCTACCACAGTATCCAGGACTCCATCATGTTAGCAACTGCAGAAATACAGAACAAACAGATGATGCCTGTGCCATTGACTTGCAGGACTGTCAGGACTGTCAGCTGGAGGAGTGGGTGAGCAGGGCAGGTTAGAGCTATGCAGGCAAGGAACTACTTGAATAAAGACAGCTGAACTAAGTCTAGGAGTTGTCTCTGTCCTTGGAGATGAAAACTGGCCTAGAAGGAACAGAAACATTCCATGCAGTATTGCAAACCCACACAGGGACACAGAGCCAGAAAGAGACTCTTTCCAACTTCACATCTCCATAACAGAGCTTCAGCCCTAAAACTGAGCTCTGAAGAAACTTGGTTAACCTTGTGTTCCACTGCAGCTGGTCCCCACAGCAGCTGGATCTGACCAGGGGGTCCCTCAGAGGAAGAGAGGCTGTGATGTGCTGAGCCAGCCTCCCCAGCTGCAGTCCAGCCTTGCTGTAGAGCCTCACATTGTCCTCACTGTCCCAAACATGTCCTGTTACCTCTCCAGGACATCCATCTCCCATGGCAGCAGCTCAGAAGCCTCAGAGGTTTTTCATTGCTCTGAACAACTCAACAGAAATATCAAAATATCCTGGAGTAAAAAAGGAAGCTATTACAAAATCCTTTGCAATGCCCATCATCTCATGGGCTTTTATCAACAAAGGACAAGGATATCTTATGTCTGTGACTTTCACGTGGACTGTGTCCCATTGCGGTGGCATGGAAGGGGAGAAAGAAAGGGAAGCTTTCCTCCTGAATTCTCTGGTTTGAAATCTGATCATGCAGCTTCAATATGATTCTTCACCTTACTGTAAAAGAGTGGGTCAAGCACTGGCAGGGCCCTGCAAGGTCTCCAGCAATGCCAACCAGCCTAGAATCTGGATCAACCAGCTGGCCAAGGATCACTGGAGCAGATGCAGAAACATCCAACAAGAAAAGACCAGTGCCATGCTATCAGCCCTGCAGAGAGACTGCATCATCTGCACACCCAGGAAGAGAAAATGGCAAACAGCTACTTCTTTGGGTATCTTTTTATTACAGTATGAGAGACTCAGGTTTGAGCCTTAGAGTCAATTAGGTTCGACAAATCTCTCTTGCTGGTTTTTCTTGTAAACAGTAACATGAACATTTCTTGGTTTCATCCCAGGATGGATCAGAAACTGCTAAAATCCTGGCAAGTTTGATAGGACACAGACTAGCAATTTCCACTTTGTTGTCCTCTTTACAGCAACATCAGTCCTGAAAAAGAGAGTGTCAGCTCAACTCCCAGCACAGAACCAAATTATTTCAAGATATTTTGTATGTAATAAAACAAGGGCAGCTGCATTAAACTCACACATATGCTCTTGATACAATCCTTGAGCTTGCTCATATTTCTCCCTGTCAAAGGCAAACAGAGTTTCCTAAGAACATTTTGCAGTGAATGCAAATAGGATAAAGCATTCCTCAGCCAGACCAACCACTGAAAAAATGGGCAAATCACAGACTCCGGGACCAGAAAAACCTGTAGTTTTAGTCGTGTGAGCCCTCATGATAGGCAATATAAGTCTTACAGTACCTCAAGCAAACAAACTTAGACTCAAGTTTTAGTTGGACAGGACAGTGAGTTTCTAGCTCTCACACTTGCAGCAAGAAAAGCTGAAGACAGAGACAAAGAAGCACAGAAGAGTTCTGCAAACCTTTAAAGGCTAAGATCTCTGGATTTTCCCAGCTACTGGTTTTGTTTTTAGATGTTGTTGATACACGGTTGTTGACACTGTGACAGTTCACCTCACTAACATCTCTCCTGTGCCAACCGTGACTCTCAATGCACTGGGCTGCCTCCTCTGGAAATTGAACCCATGGACTGATGGCTTCTTTTTCAATATAGTTGGAAAAGCCTTCACCAACAAATACAGTTCCTATGGTTGCGCTTTATGTGTGACTCCATTTCAAAGAGTCTAATGAACAAATACACAAACTGGGCTGCACGCTGGTATTTAAAGGACACATGCAACATGGTATACATGTGTTTTCCATCAGCTTGGATACAGTTACATTTTTGAACAGGGACCGGTTCTTAGCAAGTGTATTTGATTTCTTCACTCCAAGGTATGTACTGTGTCTCTATCCTTCTCTGAGATAACTGCTAACATCTTGGGTACTTTGAGAACTTCTGTAATGCTGCAAGACAGGTCTGTGCCTCAGCACGGCACAAGGTGGAGATGACAAACAGCACAGCAACAGTGTGAGCCACTTCAGTTAACCCTTCTTTGATATTCCTCATACTCCCTTTAATTCAACTTCTCTGTCCTCTTTGTTTCTTCTAATGTAAGAAAAAAACAGCAAGGTATTGTCTTTCCAAACATTCAAGTATCCATATTTAGCTCCTCTTGTGGTATTAATGCCAGAGAATCCAATATACTCCAGTGAGCTCAGACTGCAGGATATATCCTTGGGAAACTCTGCCAGACTTTTGATTTGTAAATCCACTGGCATGAGACACCCAAACTAGATCAAATTTTACATTTCTATTTGTGCCACTGGTACAAAGGAAAGACAGATGGGATAGATTCTGGCAGTGGGCACAATGGTGTAAATGCAGCAACACTCCCTGGAAGTCAATGGAAGTTATTCCAAATTTATACCCACTTCAGAAGCTGCCTGAGAAGCACTGTTTGTACGCAATGCTAATTGTTTTATGCTGACAAGCCTCTCATAACAGTATCTAAATGCCTTCTAGACCAAATATTACACTAGGTTGTTTGCAAAGAACTGAAAGCGTGAACTTTCTTCTAAGTAAGACAGGTAGCTAATAACAACCCTGACCTAGATTTCCTTATCAGCAATTTTTGAAGGAAAAAAATAATATCATGCAACAGGGGAATGTGCTGTACTCTGATCCAGTTGCTTCATAGCAGTCACCCCCGAAGTGTTTTAGCTCAATACAGAAAAGGGAGCACTCAGCCTAATGCACCAAGTGCAGTGTTACACAGCCTGTCTGAAAGCTGCTATCCCACTTTACAAGGAGCCCACCTACTGATCTAAAGAATATGGATACTGTCTCTCTAGCTCAGGAAAAAAGCCTACAGCCATCCTGCTGATTGGCTGCTAGGACCACACAAATTAAAAACAAAAAAGCACAAATACTCAAGGTCAGTGTCTTAGCCCCCCACCCCCCCACTACAGGTTTCCTAACCACATGCACCTACTTGAACAACATCCATCAAGAGGCCAGCAGCTACCATTCCCAAGCCAGCCAGAAGGAATGGCACGAAAATCTGGGAGGCAATGGAGAATGAAGTCTCTGGGAGAAATCCACTGGCTGATCTGGTCAACTTGCAGGTGAAACCTCTCAGTTTCTTGCCGTGGAAGCACAGTTCCAATTGTAACTGAGTGACCACCATGGTCACACACTGTTACCCCATGCTCAGCAGGGAAAATGGAGGGAGATCAGGACATCATATAGATCCTTCTTGTAGCTCTCTCCAAAGTCAGAAGAAATGTTTTTCCTCAAACTACAGTAACAATGCCAAATTGGTTTAGCTTCTTCTTCTCCTAGGAGCACATCCAGAGGATTGCAGCAAGGGTATCCTCCAAAATTGATTCAGCTGGGTTGAGCTCAGGTGGCAGCAAACTTGATGGACACAATTTCTCTGATTTATATCCAGGGGGAAATTAAAAAAGAGAAGAGAAGATTGCAGAGACGTCTGAGGATGAATAGAAATGAACCCACACCCCATTCAGCTCCCACCACTTCGGCAAAAACCAGTAAGACCTGCTCAGGCTACGGCACTGAAAGAGTGACAGGTCATGCAAGAATCCCTCAGCCTGCTCAAACGCACTGGTGTCCTTTCTCCTCGGGTTACATTTCTTGTCAGACCGTGGCTTGCGTTTGATACGACGGTTTAATATGTAAGCCTGCTTGAACCGGCCCCAGTCCCTTCACTCCCACCGTAAGCACCACTGAACTTTTCTCACTGTCCCAAGGCTGAGGAGGTGGGGAGTTAAAAACCCTGATCCATTTTACGCTTCTTCAAGGTGAAGAAAGGTCAAGGAAAACACGGGGCCACGTTTCTCACAGCCGACGATATTACACAGGTCTCATCCCCAGGCAAGTGACACGGCTGAGCCAGCTGGTGAGAGAAGATCTGCACTTCTGGACCCCGGCCCCTCGTGTCCCCTCCGTGGTCTCCGCAGGATATAACAATCGGTCTGTGCCAGCTGTACCTCTGAATGACTGGCTCTCGGGGAAAAAAAAGTTCAGAGAACCAGCCAATAAGCTTCAAAAGTGAACACCCTTATCTGCTGTCATCACTTCAACTTTCTGCTAGTTTGCAAAGGCCAAGATAAGAGTCATAGCCAGAGCTTATTTAAGGTAGCTCCATAATCTCACTACACCGCAGGCGAGGGAGAGAAAGGACACTCTCTGAGCTGGTGTCCCTGCCTGTCCTAAAGTGAAACACACTGCTTCTGCATGCTCCTGGGAAGCTGATGTCTGAGAGAGGGGATCTCATCCCAGAGACTCCATAATAAAGCATCTGACACGGGGTCAAAAATCAGAGCTGCACCATGGCCACATACGGCCAAAAAGTTTTATCCTGTTCAGTAAAGGCTTCAGCTCTAAGTCACACACGTAGGGAAAGGAGTCAGGATATTATGTTGGGGATCCTTTCTAATAATTAATTTGGGTAGACTAATTCAATTAGAGGGTCAAAAAGTTTTAAAAACACAATTTAGGATGGATCAACCCCTTCCCAAACACTCTCTGCAGAGAGACATAAAGATTAATGACTTGTGGACCTTCCTTCAAGGAAACAAAAGACAATTTCTGGAAAACTACCATAGGTTTTTCAAGGTCTAATAACATGCACACCTAGTCCCACACGCCGATGTATCAGTCAACTGGATCGATGTCAGGCAGAAACATTAACGTAAAGAAAATATTAATGAGTCTGAATGACTCAAATGCCATTAAAAAACAGAGCAGCAACACAGCCTGTACCGAAGCACCAGCCTGGCAGGGTTTATAAGTTTATCACGCTTTGGCTCTCCCTGTTTCTAAGCAAGCACCATAAAAAGCTCTCAGCTGATGAATCAGTATACAGAGAAGGTAATTGGTGCAGGTGACCCGCGTGTGTACACTGGGTCATTTTATTATGCATTTAAGGAGCCTCTGATAAAGATCCGCACCATATTTGTCAGCAGAGAGATGCCTCATATTTTCCTGGCAAAGAGATATACCATATTTGTCCACAAAGAGATGCATCAGGTTTGGGAAGAAAGAGAGAGTTGCTCAACAGTGGGAAAAAGATTATAACTAGCTGGAGAAAAAAACTCCAAACCAACCACCTTATTTTCATACCACTCTTCAAGGCAAAGCCTGGGGGGGTACGCTGCTGCCCTTCTCTGCACACAGATACACTGTATCCCCACGCTTGCAAACTAGCCAACAAGTAGCATTGCCTTGGAGGAGTCAAAGCAGAAGCAGACTTGGGTGAGTCCTGACCCTGACTTAGGGCCTCCATCCACTGCCACGGTACAAAACACGGAACAGAAAGATGACAAGTGCCAAAGAACACAGTTTCATATGTACCTTATCATCCCTGCAAAGAAGAGACAGGAAGACAAGTGAATGCTTTTACAACATTCCTGTTAGCAACAGGCAGCACTATTCCAACACCTTGGACTCATGGGATGACAACGTTTTGCAGGGACTGCACATCCCATTTGTTCGAGTACTATCAGTCTTGACTCTTCTCTTCCCACTTTGGGAAAGGGCAGAGAAGAGAAGTTAAGTGGGGAGACTGAGAGCAGGCAAATGCAGAGCCCCACAGCATCCACTGTTGTTCCACAGAAACAGCAGTAGCAGCCAGGCAAAGGCCAGGACTGGCTCAGGAAGGAAGGGCAGTGTCCAGCAGCAGCGAGTCCATGATGAGACACACTCAAGTAGCCCACGATCATGCACAAACAACCTCTGTGCTAGTTGCCAAAGGCCTGTACTTTCTATGAGATGTGGCATGGGTTGATTTCCCAGACTCTAAGCACTAACATGACAGCTCTTTGTGAGCTCTTCATTTCAAAAACAGAAAGTAGACTTTTGCAGTTTCAGAGGAGAGTGAGGTTTGCCTCACATTCTGTTCATATTAGTGGCCCAGTTCTTCCTAGAAAAAAAAAACCAACAACCAAACCAAAACCAAACCAAACAAACAAACAAAAAAAACCAAACCAAAGCAAACCAAACCAAACAAATAAACCCAACCAAACAAACAAAAAAACCCAAAAAACAACTCCCAGAAAGAAACATTGAAAGAAAAGCACTCCTTCAACGTCATAAACCCATCTGCAACTTATTTCACACTTTAATAACTCACAACAGGAAGCAACATACATTTAATGTCAGAGATCCATAGGGCTGGGCAGGTCTAAACAGTCTAAAAAATAAAATCAGAAGTGGCTGCTCAGCACTCAAGAGTCTCAGAATAATGTCAAAGGAGACACAAAGTAGTTTGTCACTGGGTTCTGGCTTTGCCTTGGCATTTTGTGATCTGATGAGACATTCTGCTGGGTATTGAGTACATGCTAAGGTCAGTTAAGGATACTGTGTTGCTCTTAAGCCTTTACAGCTCTTCTAGCTTAGGGAGATCAACCCTGGGTTAATAACAAAGTAACACAGCTCCAGATTTGTGAAAGTTGTCAATGCAAGCGCAGTAGTTTCAGTGTCACTGTATCAGATAGGTCAGAATAGTCTGACCTCACAGCTAGTTAGTCAAATAATAAGGGTTAATAAAAAGGTATACAGTAGTTAGAGTCACTCAGAGTGCAAAGGCACAGCAATTTATAATCTGGAAATTAACTGCATCTTTAAACTGTCTAAAATCAGGTGCTCACCACTATCTTAAAGCTCTGTACTGCTGCACCACAGGAGGGGAGGTCTCATCCTGACCATCTTAGAATCAGAACCTGAACTGGAAGAACTGAAGTCATCTGTATGAGGCCTTAGTCAAGGATGTGGTGCACAGGCTGGGCTGGGCTGGCTGTATGAAGTGTTAACAGTGTTGGGCTGGCTGATGCCTTGCACAATGAAGCAGCAGATGCAGGAATATCCAGAGTCACATCCGTGAGTGATACTGCTCTATCTACTGCAGGAAAGCAGTGTGTCACCACAGCCCTTGGGGCTGCAGGCCACCCACCCTCTTTCAAGGACCAAGGTGAGATCTTTGCACAGGGCTGCACATTTCTACATAGATACCTCATGTTCCTTGTGTACACTTTAGCATCATATTGTCTTTTTTCTCCAGGGGAGAAAAGGGGCCAAAAAAGCCCTACATACTGTCTCTTCAGAGCCACACAGAACTACTTAGTAGCTGACTGAAGGACATGGTGGCATGTGAAACTGCTGCAAATTCTCCCTTACTGTGCCGTTCACAGAGTAAATCCTCTGCCTATAAAGAAAAGTCCCCCACCTATCCCGTATCAGGTGTGTCAGATGAGTTTCTTTCCCTTACCTGAACATAATCCAAAACCATGCCTGCCAAGACCATGCCAAGCCCAGCTAGGAGGTATGGCAGGAGCACTTGCAGGCAAATTGAGATGGCTGACTCTTCCTGTGACTTTGCCATGGCCACTTTCTCCTCAGCCAACAGCTTCTGCTGTGCATGCAGAGAGACATCCTCTGCCTCCTGGTTGCCAAGTCGGCTCTCTCTGTGTTTACCCTTGCTCCTTCCTTTGTGCCTGGATCGCTCTCCATTCTTAGTCCTGCCCTCTTTCCTCCTCTGCCGAACTTCCTCACCTTTCATGGTGGCTTCCTTGAATCACAGTTTTTCTGAAAAACAAAGTGAGAAACAATGAGATAACAAAAAGAAGTATCCGGCAAGTGAGAGACAGGAAATCCTTTGGTATGTTGTGTACTCCACTAACCTGAATGCAAATAACCACCTACTCCCCAAACCCCAAACACTCTGCTGGCCCAATTACTAGTACTTTCAACTTTGTATAGCATCCAACCAATCTCCCTTTCTGTAACAGCATCTCATCCCAGGCCTGTGTTCACCCTGGAGTGCTTGCTGTGCATCATGGCTCTTACCCTGAGAACAAGCAGAAGAATTCAGAAGGCGCTGCACATGGCCTGAACCCTTGGGAGTTCCTGAATCATTGGGAGTCACAAGAACTTACGAACTCAGAAGAATTCAATCCTTTTCAGGGTCTGACCCCTAGCCATGAAATGGGAGCAGTTGACATCCTTATATTGTAGCATCCTACAGTCACACAAAGGACTGGCATCCAGGTATGTACTACGCATAGTACCTAGCATAGTACATCTAGATGTCCACCACTCCTCAGTAACAAGGCAATTCTTTGATCTTCTCTCTAATCTGGATACTTCTCCTTCCTTTTGTGCCTTAGTTGACATGCTTACACCACATGACTCATCTGTCTATAGAGAAGCTGCAGTGACCCCACACCATCTTATAAGAAAAAAATAAACATGAAAAATTGTTGCCATTAGCCCTATTCCTGCCATCACATTTCTTGATAAAATTGTCATTCATACTGCCTGTCCCACTGCTGGCCCAGGCAGTGCCCTGAATCTTTCCCCATCACCTGCTGCCAGATGTTCCCTGATGCTCTCATTGCCAGGATGGGCCCCCAGCGCTCTGAGCCCCTGCGCTACCCCAGGTAGGGATCAATCCTCTTCTTGCCCAACATCTGGCGAGCAGAGGAAACTGCTAGGAGGCCCCAACCACGGCTGGGGAGGGGGAGGGCGGAGGGATGGACACGACAAAAGTCCTCCTTGGCGGGAGGAGAAACGCGGCCCCCGCTCCCCCGCGGCGCTTACCGGCTCGGTGCCCTGCCCGTGCCCTGCCCGCGGCGGGGCTGTGCCCGCAGGCCCGCGGGCGCAGCCGGGACGATGCGAGCGCGGGAGGCGCCCGCCACATCTGGGCGCGGCGGACGCGGGTTCGAGCCCGGCCCCCGCCCGCGGAGGCGGCGCGGTGCCGTGAGTGGCAGCCGCCGGTCCTGCCCCGGCGCCGTTCCCGCACCGCGGCTGCCGCAAGCCCCGCGACGCGCTCATCCCCCTGTCCGTACCAGGGCGGACAGCCCGAGGCGGGGATGGAGGACTCCCAGCTGGGACGGGTCCCGCTCGGGGAAACAGCCCCCTGGAAGGCAGCGCTCGGGATGTCCCGAGCACCCCCCGCTCCCCACCCCTCCGGGCCTCCTGCCGCCCCCAGAGCCCGTGGCG